TGAAACATCTTCTAGTGAATGTCTACCAAGTTTGTTCAAATAAAAGCCCTGGGGTCAAAATTGGCCCCGCCCCAGGGGGTCATTGATTTTCCCTATATGCATATAGTAAAAACTTAAAAAATCTTCTTTTAAAGAACCCAAAGAGCTAGAGCTAAGATATTTGGCATGAAACATCTTCTAGTGAATGTCTACCAAGTTTGTTCAAATAAAAGCCCTGGGGTCAAAATTGGCCCCGCCCCAGGGGGTCATTGATTTTCCCTATATGCATATAGTAAAAACTTAAAAAATCTTCTTTTAAAGAACTGTAAGAGCTAGAGCTTAGATATTTGGCATGAAACATCTTCTAGTGAATGTCTACCAAGTTTGTTCAAATAAAAGCCCTGGGGTCAAAATTGGCCCCGCCCCAGGGGGTCATTGATTTTCCCTATATGCATAAAGTAAAAACTTAAAAAATCTTCTTTTAAAGAACCCAAAGAGCTAGAGCTAAGATATTTGGCATGAAACATCTTCTAGTGAGTGTCTACCAAGTTTGTTCAAATAAAAGCCCTGGGGTCAAAATTGGCCCCGCCCCGGGGGGTCATTGATTTTCCCTATATGCATATAGTAAAAACTTAAAAATTCTTCTTTAAAAGAACCGTAAGAGCTAGAGCTTAGATATTTGGCATGAAACATCTTCTAGTGAATGTCTACCAAGTTTGTTCAAATAAAAGCCCTGGGGTCAAAATTGGCCCCGCCCCAGGGGGTCATTGATTTTCCTTATATGCATATAGTAAAAACTTAAAAATTTTTCTTTTAAAGAACCCAAAGAGCTAGAGCTAAGATATTTAGCATGAGACATGTTTTAATGGGTGTCTACCAAGTATGTTCAAATAAAAGCCCTGGGGTCAAAACTGGCCCCGCCCCGGGGGTCATTGATTTTCTTTATATACGTAGCAAAAACTTGAAAATCTTCTTTGAAAAAAACCAAATAACTAGAGTTTAGATATTAAGCATGAAACATCTTTAAGTAAATATCTACAAAGTTTGTTCAAATAAAAGCCCAGGGGTCAAAACTGGCCCTGCCCGAGGGGTGTCATTGTTTTTAACTATATGTGTATAGTAAAAAATTAAAAAATCTTCTTTTAAAAAACCCAATGAGCTAGAACTTAGATGTTTTGCATGAAACATCTTCTTATGGGTGTCTACCAAGTCTGTTCAAATAAAAGCCCTTGGGTAAAAATTTGGCCGGGGGGGGGGGGCTATATACAGGTGAGCGACCTCAGGGCCATCATGGCCCTCTTGTTTAGTTATTGCCCTTTGTTATTTTCAGCCATCAGTATTCACATAGGTTTCAAATCTGTAATCACTATAGCCATCAGTTTTCATTACCAAAAGACCTCTTAAAATGGAATTATTCTGCTGTACTACATATACATTCTTCCAATGAGCAAACACATTCGGCGGGGGATGGCCATGCTGACATGGCTCTTGTATACAATAAAGTTACAGATCTCAATTAAACCTCTTTTTATGTCCCTAAACTACAAAATAATGTAACTCATATTTTTTGTATCATAATAGCATTGATTTTACAACATTATTTTTTACAAAACATGACAATTATGAGGGAATTTAAGTGTTCAGGGGAAGCTACTCTTACAAGCAAGTCTCAACATGAGTTGTCTCATCACAGTTATTGTTCCTTTACTGTAGAATCATCATGGTAATTTTACACTCATTACTTAGATTGTATATGTAAACATGTATATATAAATAGGTTTAGAATTAAAGTTATTAGTACTTATTTGATAGTAATGCAATAAATAAAGTGCCACACTTTACTAAAGTGGTACCTAATGCCTAGAAAAGCCTGCAAGAGTATGATGTACATGGTCAGTAAAGCTCAGGAAAGTAATTTTGCATGACAATACTGACCAAACTCAACCAAATAGAATGAGTTAAATTAAATTCATTTAAATGTATCTAAAGGGATTTTGTAAATTAATGAAAAATTTTTTTCTCAGATTGAAGAAAGATGATTATTATAATATATATATTTTAAATAATGTATCACCATTGACCGATTTATTTGTCAGTTCTTTTAATGAAAGAAGAATTCTGTGTTAAGATATTTGAAGATGATTTTTTTGTGTGTTTAATTGATATTACATTAATCATACTGCATTACAAAAAGAGGCATTAAATAAGGCCAAAAAATATAGAGTTCTGTTTTTGGTCTCCAGCTTCTGAAAATGGGTTAGGTAGGGTGGGAAATCTTTTTTGATATAATTATATTTTTTTATGTAACTTTATATATAATTTGTGAAAATATGATTTTGAAAGAGCAGTAATTCAAACAAAAATCTATAGTCGGTATTTTAAGTTTATAAAGGTATGTACATGTATCTGCTGCCTAGAGTTAGTACATAATTAGTTTGAATTTTGAAAAATACCTGTATGTAAGATATATATTTGTATGTTATTTTGTGCGCAATGGCACATGCACGAAAGAAAAACAGTGCTAAATGGAGGCATTCTAAGTTACATCTCTTTTGAGAATTGACAATTAGTTCATTGAAACAATACAATTTTACTGTTAACTTTATAAATTTATGAAAACAGTTTTCCTAAGGCTTAAACTTTCAACCTATTACAGAAAGATAGTCAGGGAGACAAGAAACAGAACTCTGGTTTTTTTTGGCCTTAAAAATTAATGGTATTATTTTCTTTATTGAGATCTGAATTGCAAATTTATCACAATAAACATATCATTTCTCCTCATGCGGCATTAATATGCTCTTTTATATAAGGTTACATATTAAGAACAATGATATTTAAATATATACTTGTATAATTTGAGCCGCGTCACAACAAAACCAACATAATGGGTTTGCGACCAACATGGATCCAGACCAGCCTGCGCATCCGCGCTGTCTGATCAGGATCCATGCTGTTCGCTATCAGTTTCTCTACTTGTTATAGAGTTTGTAAGCGAACAGCATGGATCCTGATCAGACTGTGCGGATGCGCAGGCTGGTCTGGATCCATGCTGGTTGCAAACCCATTACGTTGGTTTTGTCGTGACGCGGCTCATTTTAATATATACTTGTATAATTTATATTCTCCAAGTTTAATGTCTTATTTATTGTTATAAAATCTCAATACAATTTGACTGAGACATGAAAATCTTAATTTTAATACTAGCAATTATCACCATGGGGAAGCAACTTTGGTCACATTACCACAATTTGGCAGGGGAGGAAAGCCGTTCTTTATGCATTCAAACATTCTCTTATACATTTCAAAACGCGAAATTTTACTTAGCACTGACATGTGTATTGTTTATTAGCTCACCTGTCACAAAGTGACAGGGTGAGCTTTTGTGATCGCTTTTCGTCCGTCGTCCGTCTGTCGTCCGTCCGTCCGTAAACTTTTACTTTAAATGACATCTCCTCATAAACCACTAAGCCAAATTCATCCAAACTTCACAGGAATGTTCCTTTGGTGGTCACCTTTAAAAATTGTTCAAAGAATTTAATTCCATGCAGAACTCTGGTTGCCATGGCAACCGAAAGAAAAAACTTTAAATATCTTCTTTTAAAAAATCCTAAGAGCTAGAGCTTAGATATTTGGCATGAAACATCTTCTAGTGAGTGTCTACCAAGTTTGTTCAAATTAAATCCCTGGGGTCAAAATTGGCCCCGCCCCGGGGGGTCATTGTTTTTCCCTATATGCATATAGTAAAAACTGAAAAAATCTTCTTTTAAAGAACCCAAAGAGCTTGAGCTAAGATATTTAGCATGAAACATGTTCTAATGAGTGTCTACCAAGTTTGTTCAAATTAAAGCCCTGGGGTAAAAATTAGCCCCGCCCCGGGGGTCATTGATTTTCCTTATATGTGTATAGCAAAACTTAAAAAAAGCTTCTTTGAAAAAACCCAAATAGCTAGAGTTTAGATATGAGGCATGAAACATCTTCGAGTGAGTGTCTACAAAGTTTGTTCAAATAAAAGCCCTGGGGTCAAATTGGCCCTGCCCTGGGGGGGGGTCATTGATTTTCCCTATTTGCATATAGTAAAAATTTAAAAAATCTTCTTTGAAAAAACCCAAATAGCTAGAGTTTAGATATTAAGCATGAAACATCTTCTAGTAAGTGTCTACAAAGTTTGTTCGAATAAAAGCCCTGGGGTCAAAACTGGCCCCGCCCCAGGGGTGTCATTGTTTTTAACTATATGTGTATAGTAAAAACTTAAAAATCTTCTTTTAAAAAACCCAATGAGCTAGAGCTTAGATGATTAGCATGAAATATCTTCTTATGGATGTCTACCAAGTTTGTTCAAATAAAAGCCCTCGGGTGAAAATTGGCCCTGCCAGGGGAGGGGGGAGGAGAGATCATTGTTTTTCATTATATGTGTGTAGTAAAAACTTAACATTGTGAAATAAAAACTTAACATTGTGAAACATCTTCTAATGAGTGTCTTCCAAGTTTGTTCAAATAAAAGCCCTGGGGTTTAAACTGGCCCCGCTCCGGGGCCCTATATACAGGTGAGCGACCTCAGGGCCATCATGGCCCTCTTGTTAAGTTATTATCAACACTTTTATACAATAGTGTGTACATTGTCATCGACAAGTTTGTAAATATTGTTTGAATGATCTCATAAAATACAAAACATTAGACTACACCAAATGCATTTTTAGAAAGCATCGGAACTGCCGCAGTAGGCTATGCAGCATGATATAAATGATAGATAAATAGTCGCAAAAAATACTTACCTCAGCCAAGCTATTTTGTCTCATTTTGGCCAAGTAGGTTGACTTTTCTGGTGACATTGTGACATGACCAAAGTTGCTTCCCCACGGTGAATTATTTCAAGCTGTTGGCCTTGAACAAAGCTGGTAATATTTTCATTGCTTTGCTACCTAAATATTGAATAAAACTGTATGTGAATGAGGCATATACATTCAACTTTTTGGATTTTGCTTAGATACATCACAGTCATGGCTACCATGATTACTATACTCAGTTTTTAGCTCGACTATTCGAAGAATATGAGAGCTATTGTAGTCGCCCCGGCGTCGGCGTCGGCGTCAGCGTCTGCGTCGGCGTCTGCGTTGGTTAAAGTTTTTTGTAAAGTCAAATATCTCAATTATTACTTGAGATATTCAATTGAAACTTACAATACTTATTTATAGTAACAAGGTACATCAGATTGACAAGTTGGATAACTCTGCCTACAATATTGACAGAATTATGCCCCTTTTTAACTTAGAAATTTTGGTTAAAGTTTTTTGTAAAGTCAAATATCTCAATTACTGCTTGAGATTATCAATTGAAATTTAAAATACTCATTTATAGTAACAATGTACATCAGTTTGCAAAATTGCATAACTCTGTCTGCAATATTTGCAGAATTTTTTGCCCCTTTGAAACTTAGAAATTTTGGTTAAAGGTTAACGGTCTTCAAAGATATTTACTTGAAACTTTACACATGCACTTAGGGTCATAATTGGAGGGTCATAATTGTATGTCACTGACCAAGTTCCATGACTCTATCTTGCATTAAGGCTGATTCATATCCCCTTTTCTACTTAGTCTCTTGGTTAATGTTTACATGCAAGTTTTACATATCTCAATAACTATTAAAGATATTTATGTAAAACTTCACATATGCATTTAGGGTCATAATTGTAGGTCACTGACAAAGATCCATAATTCTATCTTGCATTTAGGCTGATTTGTCTCCCCTTTTTCAACTTAGAAATTCATGGTAAAGTTTTGCTTGTAAGCTGTTATCTCAATAACTACTGAAGGGTTTGTGCCTTTTTTGGGACAATTTTATGCATTCATAATAATAAAGTAGTGATTTACTTGATAAAACATCTTAATAACAAGCCTTTGTACCTTTTCTGTCAAATTTATGTATTCATAGGTAATTAGTATTATTATACTCAATAAAAATTTACTTGATAAAACATCTTAATAACAAGCCTTTATGTACCTTTTCTGTCAAATTTATGTATTCATAGGTAATTAGTATTATTATACTCAATAAAAAACCTTGTGACATTACCTTCCGAATAGTCAAGCCAATTCTGTATAATTAGACTCTCTCTAAGGCCTATAACATGAATTTATAAAAAAAAATTAGCCCTTTTGTGAACTTAAAAAATTAAACAATATAAAGGCTCTTTTACTATCAAGCACTTAGAATAGTCGAGCATGCTGTCCTACAGACAGCTCTTGTTTATGCACATTGTAATAAGAAAGAAAACTAACTGGTACTTTTGCTGTCACAATTTTCTGTGACAATTTAAACAAATGATAAATGCCAATATTGACATCTTGGTCAATCTGCAAATTTTGTACATTTTTCTCAAGTTTGATTTGGCTCTTCTGGAGGCATGTAACTTTAAGTCTTTAACTTAATAGATCTAGTATATTTGTGTATTGTGTGTATACATTTTTTAAAAGGCAGCATAACAAGAAAAATAACATATCTCTTTGTAAATGTTTCAGAAATATTTGCCATTTTTGTACTAAAAGTCTTAAGTGCTAGATTTAATACATATATACTTTCCTATGATGATTAGATATTAGATACAAATTTATATTGAAGTACATGTATGTAGTTTTAAACCATTTGTATAAGTATTGTTATGGACATATATTTTGATGTATGGTCAATACCTTTTTGTCGTTGATCAGTGATCAAAACACATTTGAAAAAAAAAATCAATAATTTTGACTTAATTAATTAGCTGTCTAGAAATTATGAAAATTCACCTTAAACATATACAGAAGCAGGTGTCCATATTTTACAAGTTTTATAGTTTATTAAGATTTTTCTACGTTTACTAGTGCCTAATTCAATTATTTTCGTAATTTTTTAATGAATCATATCCTTTAAACAAAAAGGCAGCCAAACTGAAAAAAATGCATAAATATACTGTCCACTTTCCCTTTGTGTATATTTTTTAATGAAATATGTGTTAGACTATGTATTAAAGTGTTGTTTTTGTGAATTATTTATAATGTACCAAAGATGTTGTGAAGACTGTATTTTGTTTTACAAGTATTCATTATAGTATAGAATACTGTACAATATATAAAAACATACTTTAACCCTGGACCTGCTGGAACTGAAGTGAATTTAGCTCTTGCCACTTTGCCACTGGATTTGGGTTTGTGTCTGGCCTGTGAGTCTGCATTTTTAATTTCCATGCATCCCGATCAGCCTATTTACTGGCTGTGTTGCTGGCTTTTGTGTTTTGATACTGAACTCGGACCCTTAGATCAGGCTCTTTACGAGCTGTTTGTAGCTTTTATGTTTTGATACTGAACTCCCTTAAACTCAGAATGGACAGTTCCAGTTTCAAAGCTAGACAAATTCATGTCACAGATTTGGTAGGTAAAGGGTTAAAAACTTAATTGTCCTGGTGAATATTTTGTATTAAATGTTGTTATTTTAATTGTCTTTAGAGCGAGAACCTAATATTTTCTTTAAAACAAGACAGAGATAAGGTAGTCTTGCTCTTACAGGAATGTTGTTCTTGATGTATTGAATTGTTTTAGATTTCTTTTTCTAGTCGCTATTGTTTGACCTACTTTTGATAAAACAGCAGATTCTATCAGTGTGATATAATTCATATCAATAACTGTATATCATTCATTGTGATAAATTATTATTGCATGTTTTTTTTTACCAATAATTTTTAAACATTAAGGCAAAGGAATGAAGAGTTATGTTTATTTTAAAGTTCTTAATTCTTCAAACTTTGATAAAAACAATTATTTTAGATACAAAATTAAAGATGATGAGTTCAGATGGCGTTTTAGTGGTTAGGAACCCAAGTCTTAAAGTTGACATTTAATTAAATTTAAATTTAGATCAATTTATGCAAAATGGTTGTTCATGTGATAAAGCATGTTTCATGTCAAGGTCAGATGAAAGGTCAAAGGTCAGGTCAGTCAATTTTTGTTGTTTATAATTATAGTTAGTAGATTATTTTTATTTCAATCAGCATTTTACAATTGAATTTTCAATATTTTTTTTTTTTCATATATACAAAATGTACACACAAAAACAATTGTCTCTTTCCCACCTTATTGTACTTTGATGTTTTTTTGTCCCTTGTATACTGACTGCAGTATAAGTATTGTAAGTATGTTAGATAGTTTTGTATCATACAATGTTGTATATTTTGTCTAGTGATTGGACAATTTTGTATCTTTTTTTCTGGACCAGGAAAGTGGTCATTAGTTAATGTGTATAAAATCTTTGATATCATCTTTCAATGATTACTATTATGTATAAACTATAATTATCATTTGTAAATGATAATTAGTCCCCTATCGGTTTAACTGGAGGGGACTTTAGGTTTACCCTCTGTCCGTCTGTCCGTCCGTCTGTCTGTCAGTCCGTCCACAAATCTGGATCCAGCGATAACGCAATATGTACTGAAAATATTTTTATGAAACTTGATATATGGATAGATGGCAGTATGGAGATTATGCACGTCTTTTTTTTTTCTTCCTATGTTGAAAATTCTGGTTGCTATGGCAACAAATAGTCTGAAAATATGGCAAATTTAACACATAAACTGGATCCAGTGATAACTCAAAAAGTACTGAAAATATTTTTATGAAACTTCAAATATGGGAAGATGGCAGTTTGGTGATTATGCACATCTTTTTCTTTTCTTCCTATGTTGAAAATTCTGGTTGCTATGACAACAAATAGGCTGAAAATATGGCAAATTTAACACATAAACTGGATCCAGTGATAACTCAAAAAGTACTGAAAATATTTTTATGAAACTGGAAATATGGGTAGATGGCAGTCTGGAGATTATGCACATCTTTTTCTTTTCTTCCTATGTTGAAAAATCTGGTTGCTATGGCAACAAATAGCCTGAATTTCAAGATTTCTGATTTAAATTTTTCTGCTTTTTCACTATAAGTTCTTTATTTCTTAAGGTGTTTACTTCAAACTTTAAATATAACTTTCTGGTCATCAACCACAACATATGTGACAAGGTTTACAACTCTAGCACAAAAATTAACAGTATTACCTCCCTTGAACTTAGAATTTTTATGAAAAAAAATGTTGTCTTTTTTAAATAACTTCTTTATTTCCTAATGTATCTACTTCAAACTTCATATATATGTTTCTTATTATCACTCAACATTTTTGAGAAGGTTAAATACTCTAGCAAGACTATTTCCAGAATTATGTCCCCCTTGAACTTAGATTTTTTCGAGAAATTGGTATTTTTCACTCCAACTTCTTCATTCCTTATAGGATTTACTTTAAAATCCCACATCGTAATAATATGACAATATGAAAATATCACTGGTAAAATTGAATGGCCAATGGCCCATCAGAATGTTGCTGGGGTTCTAACCGGTAGGGGACTTATGGATTGCTTGCAATACTATGATAATTGCTTGTTTTTTTTATGAAATTATAATAATTACTTTGCATAAACTAAAAATGATTATGTCAATGATAATTTTGCATAAATGATAATTATCATTGTATAAATGATAATTATTGTATACTAATGATAATTATCATGTATAAATGATAATAAGCATGTATAAATGATAATTATTGTGTACAAATGATAATTATCATGTATAAATGAAAGTTGTTGTGCACAAATGATAATTATAATGTAAAAAGATACCATATGTATAAATAATGAATATAATGTGTGAATGATAATTACTATCATGTATAAATGATGATATTTAATTATACAATATTATGTCACAATGTTTTTGAGATGGAAAATATTAAGAAAACTGAGAAAAAAGAAACTACATGTAAATGTGCAGAGCTTGATTTTATTCTTTTTGAAGAATTACACATTTAAAAGTGTTAACTGATTCTTGAATATAAGTAATGTGTTAATTTATGAATATAAAAACTGCCATTCGATTTTAAACAAAAATTTTAATGGTTAAGAATTTGTACATGTCTTAGATAATTTGTTCATTTTATGTAATACAATGTACTAAATGTCATATACACAAATTTCTACACATTCAGGCATATTACATAAATGTGTAAACATAATGTTATATGTAAACACATATATTTTGATTATTAAAACTGCTGTATTTTTATGCATATATGGTTGCAAATTTAAATGTTTATCATTTGAATTGATAAAACATATTTATTTAAAAAATGCAGTCAAAAACACCGTCCGAATTATGCAATAAAAAACTGTTACTTTTAAAAGATTTTTGTAAAGGGCTGATATTGTAATTTTTTTCCAACTTTGCAAACTTTTATATAGAAAATTTATATTCTATGTAGGTGATGATATTGTTTTATTTCTTATTAATTACTAGTTAGAAAATGTTGTGAGATAAAAAATGTTAATTGTGGGACATGTTAAGATCATTGTAAAAATTATTTAGGTCACAACTTGCATGTGACATGATTGGTTTGAGCATGTGGCATCATTATATTAGATGTGACATCATTGTATGAGGTATGACATCATTCTTATGGATGTGACATTGCTTATGTGGCATAACAGTATTACCTAAGATGCAACATTGTAAACATGGATATGACATTGTATATTGAGATGCTATGATGGTCTTAGATGTGACATTATGAAATGAGTTGTGACATGATGGTCTTAGATGTGACATTATGAAATGAGATGTGACATGATGGTCTGAGATGTGACATTATGAAATGAGATGTGACATGATGGTCTTAGATGTGACATTATGAAATGAGATGTGACATGATGGTAGATGTAACATTTTGTAATTAGATGTTACATGATGGCATTAGATATGACATGAAGGTTCTTATTTATACAATAACAATGTCTGACAAAGTGATATGACTTAAAGATGTTACATAATTGGTTGTGACATAACGATTTTTAAAATGTGACACAAAACTTTGAGATGTGACATCACTTTTTTAGATGTGACTAAGTGTTTGAGGGATGTTATTTCATTCTTGTGATGAAACAGAACTTTTGAAATGTTGCATAATGGAGTAAAAGCATTCAAAATTTGCAATGTGACATGATATTTTGGGGTGTGACATTATTATCTAAGAATGATGTAACATCTTTGTTTGAAATACTTTA